TGACCTCCACTTCTAACAGTTCTCTTCGCTCTTCTGAGGTCTTTTGACTTCTCGTTTCAACCATTCTGCCTGAAACCGTCCCCTCTTTATCGGACCGGGTTCGCTTGATCCAATCCACAAAAGGATCGGTCATCGTTTTCCTTTGCTTTTCAGGTATGAATTTCCTAGAGCTATTACCTCGTTTTGGTATCCTTGACTTGTCTAAACTCATTCTTTATTTGTCACTTTCCTATGCCTACTCTTGACTCAATTGCTAGAGACCTTATAGTTTTATTAACAATAATAATGACACAACACAATAAATTTCACCAGATTCTATTAAATAGTGACCACGAATCCCTGTATGTTGTCAGAGTACAGTTTGTATAAAATTTATTCACACTAGCCGATTATCGGTCCAAAGATCTGGAAACTAGCACAATATGATGTTATCAGTCAATTTAAAAGATAGTTTAGTCACTACCCAATCAAGCACAGTTTAGGTTGATTTAAAATCAAAAACAAGAATTATATATTGACACAATATGAATGTATATATAAAAAAACGTATGTGTCTTGTACTCTTAGTTGGTCGCAGTACAATAGTCGAACCTGTCTTTTAAAGAAAAAGCTTTCCCTGCTTGGTGCTGCACCAAACAGACAAAACTTTGAAGGCAGTAATTTTCTCAAGTGGGCGTCTATTGCACCCACCGAGTATTGTGTTACCTATCTGCCTTCGGACTGCCCGAGCTAGACCTACTAAAATCCTCAGGGCAGTCACCTTTCCCAAAAACGTATTATGTTTCAATCCACACCAATCCACACCAACGCTATTGTAGAAAAAATTTGCGAAAAACTATGCTACCTGGACCCCTCCGGATTGATGAATCCACCAAATCAAACACGTTATGTTCGATTTCTCTGCAACCCGGAAGGCTTTCGGGTAGCGGATTTTAAGACTTGTAGATTCACTAGCTGACGTTGTCCGAACAACTATTTTTACTGTCCTACCTCAAAAATTTCAAAAAATTTTCTAAATTTTTAGTGTTTCTTACTATCAAAAATTGGGAAAATTTGGTTTTTGGTACCAAACTAGTTCCAACCACTTCCGAACTAAAGTTAACCGGTTCTACTTATTACAGTAGTGCAGTTACGATGTAACACACTAACTTAGCGCTTTTTTCCGTTTCAAAAAATATCGATATCTCAAAAATCGCGACTTGTGGGGGGATCAAAATATCGCTATTTTGACCCTAAAAACCGGTCTGTTTTCGTTTTTTTTTCACTGAAAAACGATATAAGACTATTAATATAGGCTATATAAGTAATAATATTAGTAATACTATACCCCTCCGGGTTTGTTTATTATCCAAATTAAGGTGCTTAACTCGGATATTCGCAGTTCGGTGAAGGGTCACTACAGTGCAGCACTGTCGAGCCCCCCACAGATTACTATCTTACTTTTTGTACCAAAAGGGATACAAAACTTGTTAACGATACCCAACAGTCGATTGTTGTTGTCGTTGAGCCCCTTCTTGTTGCTCCTTGAACTGCTTGCCGGGTCGGTCTTCACCCAAGACCCTTCCGAATTGAGCGCAAATCAGCTGACCCTTCCGGATTGAGCGCAATTTATCATTAACGTGCTTAAATGCTCAAATAACCCTACAGTACAAGCCTCACAAACGGGCTACAAAATTGATCGTAACGATCCTGACTGATATAAATGCCTGTAACAACAATATATCTACCAACAACAAACGGGGGGGTTGAATCACATCTTGTCTGGGGGGATGATTTCTACTGATTTTTTTAAACTTTTTTACTGTTTTTGGTTTTTTCGGTTATTTTTTATGTTTTTTGTTTTTCTTGGGTACTATACTACTTTTTGTTTGGTTTTGCTTATATCTTTAAGTGTTTTTAGTCACAAACCACTCAGGGGATGAGGGGTTCATGATTCCCCCCACCCTTCCTGGTTCGTGAATTTTCGGTCTTAACTAGGTTAAAAAACTATTCACGGTAATCCGGAAGGCTTCCGCGTTCCGAACTACCCTTCCGCCCCGGCTGTTTAGGCCTATTAAGGGCGTTAATGTGAGCATCCGCTCGGCGCGGAGTGCTCGTTAACGGTTCCGCCGGTCATGATGTTATGAAAGAATAACACCCAGGAGCGCCATAAAAACATACATGTAACATTCGCCCGGAAGATACATATCGACGGATAACAAAACTAAGTCTTAAGACGACTGGCTAGCGACTAAACAGAGCTTTGCATGTTTTTCACCGTCTCTACCAAGCCAGTACTTTTCGGTGGTCTTTCTTACATCAGGCTGACAAAAACGTTACTGTTCTCCGGCTTCGACCAGAACGCTCAAATTAACTGAATTACATGCAAAATTAGTGAGCTCATGGCTGGGTCTCAGTATCCCCAGACCACGAGGTCACTCCTAAAAACAGGGCTACTACTTATTATATTACTATTGTTTTTGTTCAGTAGATAAAAATCATCATCTCCATCGAAGATGGATCAACCCTTTCCCCCAACTCCTAGCACCTCATCCTTGTCAAAACTAATCAAAATATCAGTTAAATTCAAGTCAGGACATGACAGGATGCTAAAAGTTTATGTGAATTAATAAAAGTTTCCGTCCCGAGACCCTTCCGGATTCTTGAATCCGCCGAATCAAGCTCCTTACTCTTGATTTCTTGCTAATCCGGAAGGCTGGTTCTCACCCTTCACCGTTGTTGGCAAGGGCCTTGCAACTATTGTAGCAGCACAATAGTTGCAACTCGGAACGCTCTCTGCTATTCTGTATTTTGTTGTCGTTCTCTAATCTCGATTTTCGTACTGTTCGCAATCGCAGATAAAAGTTGTTCTGTTTCTTTCTGCTATTTTAGCCAAAATGGCCGTTTTAACATTTCTCAGAAATGTTACGTCATCACTTCGAAAATTTAAAATTTAGAATTCCAGAATCTTCTAGCCTTCACCGTTTGGCCAATCGTTCAAATAACGTCCTTATCCGTTCTAAATCGCCAATTCGGAAGGTTCACTGCTAAAATCCTGAATTCTGCAGAGACTGCATTTTGGCCATTCTGGTCGAATGTCACACATTCTCGACTGAAGAAGTCAAGGGAGGGCTGTTTCTTGCGGCCATCCATGCTCCTGATGTTGTTCCAGACCTTCGTTTCAGGAGTGGAGGGTGAGTGCGTGTAACGAAGTTCCTCCAGGAGGCTGCTTTCTCGTTCCTGATGGTATGCTCGAGGTTGTTCCTGGCAGCGATGCACTCGTCGATAGCTGTTTTTTGGTCTCTGTTGCTCTGGAGGGATTTGGGCGCTGCGTTGAACCTGCGTTTGGCCTCGGTGCAGTTCGAATTCCACCGGGGTTTAGAGGTTCTAACTGACGAGGAAAGAGTAGTCAACTTGACCGCCTTCGATGAAGAGCTTGCAGTGCTTTTCCAGCGACTGCTCTGGCCAGCTGTCTGGGAACACCTTTGCAGATCGTACGGAAGGCACGCCAGTCCGCCTTTCGAAAGTTCAGCTTCTTGCTGGGCTGTGTCTTCTGTTTTTTGCTGGTGGTGGACAGAAGGATGGGCAGGTGGTTTGACCCGAAGCTGTCAAGGGTCTTCCAACTGTAGACGTAGGCTCTCCTGGCATTCACCATCGTCACATCAAGAGATGAGCTCGCTCGTCTGCTTGACCTCCTCGTGGGCCCGTTGTTCAAGAAAATGAAGCTGTTGTCCGCATCACAGTCGCCTAGAGTGTCCAAGGCGAGGATGTTATCCCACGACCTGTGGCAGTTAGCATCACTGCAGATGATAACTTGGTCTGCAGTTGGCCACATGTCGAGGTGGAGATCTGCGTCTCTGTGGTCGCGGGCCGGTAGATGTTCCAGAGGTCGACATCTTCCTTGGTCAAGGCGACCCGAGCTTCTCAAGAGCAGCGCCAGAAGGGGTGTTGATATTACCTAGGACCTTTTTGATCGTCACGTTGTTCCTGATCAGGATTGCTAGGCCTCCTTGAACGGTGCGTTCTTGAGCATCGGTGCGGTGGACGAACTTTTCGGCTGTGATAGCGGTGCCGTTTGCTAACTTTCGGGGCCTCGGTCTTGTTCTTGATTTTTTGTCTCATGTTGGACTGCGAGTTCAGGGTTGACTTTACTCACTAGCTTGTTGAGGACGGTTTATTTCCCCCTCCAGCCATCCACGTTGATTTGGAGGATGCACTCGTTTTGATAATTTCGGTCATTTGTCTTGTTCTTTGTCTGCGGAGCCGGCGGGGTAGGCACTGGAGTGCAGCCACAGTGCCATCTCCAGGTGGCCCAGCTGCGAATTTTGGTGACGCTCATATGTTGGACTCAGTGTCTGTGAAACCAGCTCATGCAGTCACCGCACCTGATGGAGTAGTCCTTATTGATGTTCTTCAGGCAGTGAGGACACTTGTAGGTTTGGTTTCAACGTCTCCGGATCGGAGAGGGCGTTGCTGGGTTTCATTCTTTATGTCCGCGGGGAAGGCTCGGTGTCTCAAGACCGTAGGACTCCTTGGACACCCTTATGAAAACTCCATGTACTCGGCAGAGTACCCTGCTGGTAGTTCTGGATCGAATCAAGTTAACATCCTCTCCCCCGCCCCCATCAGATAGACCTAGTTAAGATCTTTCACCTCAGCGTTATATTTGCTTTAAAATTTGCTAAGCGCTGCATGTAAAATGCTCGATTCTGATGGCTTTGGAGGGGGGGGGGGTGTTAACTTGGTCCTCTAGATCTTGAAGAGGGTCGAGAATTCCCCACATCTGCCGCCGTGGGGGGTTCCAGAAGGGGTCCAGTTTGGCAGACTCGCGAAAAAATCGCAAAAATAATCAATTGTCACGTCTTCTTTTTAATCGAAATTTCAAAAATAAATAATTCAACAATTTCGACCTTTTCGGTTCTTTTTTTAAATATCGTTCTTAATTGCTATTTTCGACTTATCGTGCTCTCGTTTTCAAATGAAATTGAAAATTATTCTGGTCGAATCGCACAGTATCGCAACTGGTGCGAAGCTCAGCTTCACCTCTTTTGTTTAAGTTTAATACGAAAACATCGTCCAAGAAGAACAATCCGATTGTCATTGCTGTTTTAGCTGCGTCCTTCTTGTGGTGAGATAGAATGCAGAAGCTATTTTCAGTGAGATGGGTGATTTGACAGTTTTTGTGTACACAGGGTTGAAGGTATATTCAACCAGAACTGAATTTTTCATTGTTTCGGACAAAAGCAAGAATTGTCTACGGATTGAAAAAGAGAATGTTAACTTGGAAACGGTTGCAAAGGAATCAGCTCCGTATGAAACCGCCGATGGCGTACCGACAGACATTGTGGCGCTGCTGGGTATAATTGATTTAGTTGCTGGGCCGTATCTTGCAGTTGCGACAGAATCTGTACTGTTGGGCTATGTTGACGGTGATAAACCAATTCACCAAATAACGAAAACCGATTTAATTCCATTTTCCAAAAGTTTGTCACACCTCACCCCAATTCAAATATCAGATAACAATAAATTCCTGGATATGATAAAGTCAATGATGTCCATTCCGGAGCTCTACTACTCTGAAAGTTATGATATTACTCATACTATGCAAAGACTTCAAGGGACTGGACCGCAGTTTCTCAATGCCCCATTGATCACTCGAGCCGATCTAAGGTGAAGTATAATAGCTTGTGTAAATTTGCAATGAACCAATTTCGCACTAATTTAAAGTGTTTTTCTCAAATTTGTTCATCTGAATTGTTTTGATAGCCTGTTTTTATCAATATTTTGTTTGCGGCTCGTCTTGAGAGCTCGTTTTTTCATTTTTTGCCCAAATGACGCTCAAGTTTTGCTAAAAAGGGGTTTGCTCAATAATACGTTACTGGTATAATAGTAAACCATTGCGTGAGTTTGAAATCCGAATCATTAATTCTTGCAATTGTTGGGCTAGCTTTTACGCCAATGCTGCAGTAGCGTATGACGCTTTAAGATGATTGCTTTTACCTGACTTTTGTTTAGGTTTGTGTGGAACCATAACTTACTTCATCCATTCGAGGCCAACCCAGATGCTTGTAAATTTATAATGCCCATCATGTGCGGGTTTGTGCACATTTCGCAGTGTACCATTAATGGAACAACTTTCAAATACATCATCATATCTAGACGAAGCAACAAGCGAACTGGAGCCCGGCTCTATGTTAGGGGAGGTGATACATCTGGAAATGTGGCGAATTATGTAGAGACAGAGCAAATTCTGGAAACACCGTCACATCTATGCAGTTATGTCATCACAAGAGGTTCAATCCCTCTTCTGTGGAATCAGTATCCAAATATGGCCATGAAACCAAAAGCGACTTTGTCAACTGAAGACAACGGAGCCCACATGGTTACGTATGTATCTCTCGAAGTCTTATTTGTATTATCCAAAATTTAAAGGTTTATAAAAATACTTCACACTGCTAAGGATACTTGAAAAGATTATGAGTTAAATCGAGCAGGTAATAGTATTGAGTATTATTTGATGTAGATTGTCGACGCATATGACTGATGAGCTTGAGCACTATCACAGACGCGTGACGGTTGTAAACCTCATAAACAGAACAGGATCGGAAGGAGCTTTGGAGAAGAACTTCAATCGATACCTGCAGGCCAATGAAGCTGCTCTGAAAAAACACGGAGACGTGTTCTACGAATTCTTCGATTTCCACCACGAATGCAAGAACATGCAATGGCAGCATTTGTCAAAGCTCATTGCAAAGTTGGACCAAGAACGACAGTCGTGTGGATATTTTCAAGCGAACCGAGGAGGACGATATGATGGTGTAATGGAACAACAAGGGGTGTTCAGAGTTAACTGCATCGACTGTCTTGATCGAACAAATGTAGTTAAATCACTGCTTTGTAGAGAAACTCTGCAAGACCAACTAAGGGCTTTGAGAATTTTGGGAACAGGCGAGAAAATTATAGATTTCGAGAACTTCATGGATAATTTCAAAGATGCTTGGATCGGAAACGCAGATAGCATCTCGATACAGTACGCGGGCACTGGAGCGTTGAAAACGGATTTCACCAGGACTGGAAAGAGGTCAAGACAAGGAGCATTCAATGACTTTCTCAATTCATCAAGAAGGTAATGGTTAGCGGACGCACTAAATGTGCTGCTATATTTTCCTAACCAAAGTGCCGTTTTTACACTTGTGATCAGCTTAGTATGTTATTACGAACCTTCTTTTTTTCTAATCTAACTCGCAAATAAAAGTGTTCATTAGAAATGCTCACTTATTTGGAAATTTTACTGTAGCTTTGGAAATTGCATAGCATCTGTTCTCTGCTTTAGTTGTGACTGAGTGGTTAATGGATCCTATTAAGATTGCGTGTTTTAGTGGTTAGTGTGTGAGACATTTAATCTCTAGGCTGCAGGTTCGAATCTCTGAGGTAGACGGATTTTTGCTCCGAGGATTATTTTTATTTTCGCACTATAGAACTGCTTTTTGTCGTGTTCTTGCAAGTGTTTGCGAAGCAAAGCAATGCTTCTGTTTTAAGAAAATGTTTCACGATTTTTTAAATAGGTCGAAATTCAGTAGATATGAAAATAAAGGCTACCACATTGTTCGCAAAGCATATATTTTCTACTAAATAACATGGGTTCTGATTTGACGAAATATGGTTGCTGTTTTTTTTCCAGGTGGTTCCGAAACAACTTCCTTGACGGGTTCCGACAAGATGCCCACTACCTCTTCCACGGAGTGTACAAGACCCAGAACTACAAAATCACCCCCTACGTGTCGCCCTTTGAATCAAACAAACCAGGGTTGAGGACCATAGTTCCCCCTGTATTCGCCATAATTGGCTTCGCAATGACAGTCGTGTCGTCTTTGATGCCGAGCGATGACTTCCCCGTCGTGTATGTCTTGTTCTGGACGGTATTCACAGTCGCGAATCTGGCATACATTTTCAACAACGGCTCTGACTTTGTTGACAAACCAAAGCTGCTGAAACCAAAGACAGATTGACTATTGGACGTTTGACAAATGGATGGTATTTGAAAATTGATATACTATTTACTGCAAACTTACTAATTTCTGGCGTCGGCTTAAATACCCAAAATTGCTGTAACTGTTTAATACGTGTACAATAGTTTTATTTCTAATTTATTGAAGTTCCCATGAATCAAATTTATTTACTGGCCACGTATTTTAAGAAATTCAAGCCTCATGTTCTTAGCTGTAGACGGACTGAATTGATCGATTTTTTTAATTAAACTTTCTGATCTTCTTGCGAAAACAATGAATATTGGATCTGTGAATTTTCTCCCAAAATTTCATCCAGTGTTTTTAAGAGTCGATGAATGTAATTCAGACTCTTAAATACGTCGCGATGATTTTTTTTTTCAGGAAAAGTCTTCAAATTTGTTCAGGCTCAAATGTACTTTTTCGTGGTTTGACTTTTGGTTTCTTTTTGAGTTTAGTTCATTTCCTTTGTTAAAAGGAAGGCAAACTATATTATAGAACAGCAAAAGTGTAAAGGTCACATATAACGCGATCGACGTCTAGTTTCGAAAGTGGAATTTAATTTTCAGTTTTCCCGGCGAAATAAATTTTACTTATTGATCAAGTTTTCTCAAATTGGGTTATTTTTATCAAAAAAGTGCTGCTCAAAACTTGTTCTAGAAATTCAAAGTGCTTAAGGCCATATATTTTTTCTCGGAGAAGCGAAAGCTGAGATCTTTTCAAAAAACCAGTCAGTTTTTTCTGTTCCAGGCATTTTTTTTCTATGATTACTTCCGTTCATTGCCATTTTTTCCAACTGTCTGTTGGCTATGTTTGTTTCTTTTCCGAGTTTTTGTTTGCATAATACTGTTAAATGTTGTGTGCTATCGCTGACACATAATGATCGACGATTTTGAGTTATTGAAGTTTTTAATTTCGTTCACGATCTAATAAAGTTGTTGATTTGACCGCTGGAAATGGAAGTTTCAAAAAGGGTGTTTTTCACGAAAAGTTGGCATTCATTATTGGAAATCCCATTAATCAAATGAATTATCACTTCAAAGCTCTTTATTTTTCAGTTAAGATTAGAGCTGCAGTAAAAATAAAATCTTTATTTTAAGTGCCGAGAAAAAAAACGATTATTAGCTCCTTCGGTTAATATAGAAAAGAACTGAGGAAATGAGCTATTCAGTCTTTATGCCATAAATTCTTTTTTTTTCTGGTTTTCTCCAAGCATTGACAATTTATCAACTGCATCACTTTTTGTTATCAAAGGGTATGAAGTAAAAAAGTATATGATTGTAAAAAAGATTGATATGATTGATATACATAGTATGATTGATATACATAGTCTCAAATATTGGTGCCACTTTTGGGGGACATTTGCGGTATTTAGTAGCATGGGCTTTGACTTTCGATAAGTAATAAGTTAACCTAGTTGATGCATTTTTGATTCATCGAATGAACCGAAAAAACTATTTATTTCAAACAGCAAACATTCCATTTCAGAAATTTTCCTACTCATTTTTTTAGAATGCATAATTTATTCATAATTTGGCTTATTCATAATTTGGCGAAAGCAATTAACATGTATTCTGGAGATCGGTTCTAGTTGCGGCTGTAATCATATAGTCGGTTTATTCGTATAGTTTTTGAAGCTTATTTTATTTCCTAGTTTATTGTTTTTTGCCTTCATTTTTAAAGCTCCCTTGTCCTTTGTTTTGCTTGTTTTTGTGAATTCCAGCTTTACCTCGAACTGTAACGTATGAAGCTCAGCTTCGCCTCTGTGTTGATATTTTGTCTATGCACTGTAAAAAGCGATACAACGTATTAGTATCCTGACAAGAGTTTGAACAGTCAAGTTTTAAAACGCATACAAAAAATTTGTACATAAGAAGAGAGGCTCAAGTCGAGTGGGTTAGGCACATGGGTCATGCGTTCGAATCCCGCTTCGGTCACGGTTGGAGGGGTCCCAGTGTAATCCGCCTCCTCAAGGTGGGACCGGCTGCGGCAAAATGGATGACATCTCCTTCCCCCACGGTTGGTCCTGCACTGAGCAGGCCGGGGGCTAATATAAAAAATAATAAAAAAGAGAGGCTCAACAAACGTTTGGCCAGATTTTGTCCTCATGATTGTGGAATGTCTCTTTCTATTTCTTGTTGACTTTTCGTCAGATTTAATTCCAATTGGTAAACAAGCGAGTTTGCAAACGTTAAATTCTATAACGCCGTTTTTTCCAAGTAATCTTGTAAATAAAAGTGCTCTTAAAACTATTGTTTTCGATGTAAATCTGAAGCTGTTTTTTGGCGTTTTGCCACTTGTATTTGCGAAGTGCACAGCCTCTATGTAAAGCTGTTTAAGGCAATTTTAGGATCATGGTATTTTTGTGCATTGATTACCGAAACTCTGTCGGCTTTGTTGCCAGTCTCAAATCGTTAAATTTGCGCATTCGGTGGGCTTTTGAATCAGCAATAACTGTCAATGGCATTAGTTTTTTTTGATACGTAGATAAACTTTTGATTTATTGTCATATTTTTTTCTCTTTTGTAAGAAACTTCGGAAAATGGTTGTGAATTTGGCTTTTCTCAGCTGAGTTTTGTTTATTAAGAGTTATGAACGTTTTGAATGCTCTTATATTGTTCTTGGCGATTTTTTGTTAGTTTTTTCAGGAAAAAATTTGTTCGCGCTAAATTTTTTTTTTTTTCGCAGTTTGAGTTTTAATTTTTTAAGTTCACTTCTTTTCCTTTCTTAAAAGGAAGGCAAACTTCACTATCGAACTGCAAACGTGTAAAGGTCACGAAAAACGTGGTCGATTTCTAGTTTTGAAAGTGGTATTATTTTTTCAGATTTCCCAGCGGAATAAAATTTTTATTTATTGATCTACTTTTGTCAAATTGAGTTAATGTTATCAAAGACGTGTCAATCATAAATTTTTCTTGAATTTCAAAGAGCTTTAAATCCTTAGATATTTTTTGTGAAATTCGTCAGTATTTTTTTCTTTTTCCTTAATCTCATGACTCCTTTACAACTGTCCGTTGGCTGTTTTTTTCCTGGGTCTCAAAAGTTGGTAACTTTGACTGATCGTTTTTTCGGATCGAATTATCGTTCATGCTTTGTTTGGACCTTTTGGTGAAATAGCCCAAATATTTTTTTTGAGTTTTTAAAGTTAAAAGGCTGGCAAACGTTTTTCTCCTAACCTTGATTAACAAGAATTTTGTAATCAAATATGAGGCAAAGTGACTATTCGAAACAGTCTGTTTTTCCCCGTTTCGTTGGAGATTTGTTTTGTTTTGTGTGATTTCATTTTTTTCACTTCAGGTTTGTTAGGCTTGAGATTTTTTGGATTTTGTATGTTGGATTGGTGGCTCGAAATTGCTTTGCGCATTATGAAGGGAAAAAAGTGTGATTTTGATTAGGGAGGGGACATGAAAACTTCCTCTGCATTTGAACTCATATTTTTTTATTGACATTTTTTAATCACCGAGTGTCTACCCACGTATTGTCGGATTAGTTACCGCTTCGTTAGTTTTACTCCAATACTAATTCAACACTGGCAATTGTGTTCGTTGCATGTCTTCCAAATGGGCTTCATTTAAGACAAAACGGTAAACGTATGAAAATTTTAGATCTAGTTTTTGACACTTTTTTGAAACATTTTTCGACTTCTGCCCAATTGCCTGTCGGCTAATTGGCATGCTGTATTTGTGATGTATTGGATGTAGTGCGCTGTTCCCTTTTGCCTCTTTGTGTTGGGTATTTTTTTTCATTATTGAGAAAACTCAAAGAAGCGTCATACAAATTTAAGTGTGTATCACATTATTGCACTTTCCAAATAGTTATTCATTTTCAAAATAGTTTAAAAAGCTTAAGATAAATTCTCTTAGTGACGAGAAAAGCAGTCAAGCGTTATCAATTCTTCGAGTTTTTGGCTATTGAAAAAGTTGTAGGTGACTGGCAAAATAATGAGTATGGCAAAACATTAGCCGGCTATCCCATTCAGTATGAGCAAGGTAAGGACCCAATCAATAAGAACGAGGTTACTATCGTAGAGAGATCATACAGAAAACTTAACCTCGATATGGTAAGTAATATTAAGATCCTCGATAGTGGAAGTAATATTAAGAACCACGTGTTGAGGGAGGGAAGAAGCAAACTCCTGTCAAAAAATGGCAAAATCGAACCAAAAAGTTCTGTTCTTGAGATAGTCTATCTGAATATCAGGTTTCGTATGGGCCTGGGCCTCTTCTCTGGGAATTGATTGTGTAATTTTGCTCTTGCAATGAGGAAAAGATCTGCGACCGGGTAGTAGAAGTTTTGCAGTTGAATTTTTTTGTCCATGAATTTCAATTAGTGAGATAATTGAGAGTAATGAACGTATGAGTAATCTTGTATAGGTATTGGTGATTTTTTTTAATTCTTTTTTTTTCAGGAAAAAGTTTTTGAAACTTCACGCTCACGTGTACACATGTCGACGAGCAGCACTTTTTTGCACACCACGGAAAACAGATGTACTTTCTTTTGTGGCAGTCTAAGGTGGAATTCTACGAGGCTGGCTCCTTCAGTCCGTTATTTATCTCCCCGGTCGTTTGGTTTTGTCTTTTCGTGCTTCCTGAGCTGTCCAGTTGGTTACTAGCAACGTTTTTCAGTTTGAAATTAGGTTGGGCAGGAACTGTAATAAGATTTTTTTTGTAGCGTTAAGATGATAGTTTCTTTTCAATTAAATCCAGTTCAAGCTTTTAAACTCTTTCAGGTAGTTTCGATAACTTGTCCATTTTCGTCTCCATTTCTTTTTAGAACTGATTCAAGTGAACATGGTCCATAATTTTCGCATTTCCAAACCAGGTGTCTTTTGTGTGATTCCAGGGCAACTTGAGTGCACAATTTTATTGCAAACTGAGCCTTGGGTTTCATCATCAGTTTGCACCGAATCTTGACTAATAAAACAAGATGTCTTTTCCGCCCAAGATTGTAGATAAGTGTTATCATTCATTTTCAAGTATATTATATTTGTCTTCGATCCTTGAACTGGACTTAATTTTATTGAATGTCTGTATAAGATGTTGTCTCTATATTTGTTATACCCTCATCCGTTAGGTGAGGTATAATCTATGTTGATCAAAGTCTACGCTGTATGCTAACTGAGAATTAAACAAATAAGAGAGCAACTTGAATTCAACTATCTATGTTTAAGTCTGGCTGACAC